GCCCGCGCGCCGCGAGCGAGGCGGGCGGCCGACGCTGACGGTGCTTGCATCGCATCCGTGCGTCTCCGCGGGGGCTGCGGGAGCTCCCTTGGCGCACGTGGCGAGGGGAGGCCGAGCGGAGGGCACCCCGCCCGCAGCGACCTTGTGCTCCCCTCGCAGGTGCGTGGCAGGCTCGCCCGAAAGCGGARTTCCAGGCGGGAATCTGTCCAGTCTGGCGTGGCGCGGCTAAAGCGGCCACCTAGTCGCGGCGTCCCCCGAACAGCCACCATGTGGAAGCGTAGGGAGGACTCATTTTATAGGGCCGTGTTACCACAGGAATTTCTGCTGGAACCCGACAGTGTCACTGGATATCTGGGTATTTGATATTTTAAACCAAAGGCCAAGTTCTGGAGGAGCCTAATAATGTGAAGAACTTAGCTCACATTTGGGGAGAAAAAAAAAAAAAAAAACAGAGTTTCTTGCCTTCGTAGTTGAGGAGCAACTTAAAAGGTCTACCAGATAGTTCCCTAGAGCCTCAGAATCCAGAATTTAGTCTAGAAAACCTAAATGTTGTCATTATACAATCTGTTGATTTCAAAGTTAACCTCCACTATTTGGGCTGATGGGCAGGCCCCTTGATTCTTGGGGGGGGGTTATAGGTTATTCGCTGAAATGGGAGCACAAAGCTGCTGTTTTGTAACTCTTACGCAAGGGCCATTCCATAGCCTGGCTATCCTTCAAATCCACAGCACAGACTATACCAGATCTTGATAAGCTGGTCTTTTATGCAGGGTAGCTTAAAAGAACACCATTGAATAAAATTTCCATGCCACATCATCAGAGAGGGGAAAAAGATTGCCAGCATATCTAACCGTTCACATTGTTGTAAAATGGAAGTTAATAACTGCTCRCTAGATTTCCATGAAATACACATTTTTTAAGCAAAAGAAAATGTATTACTYACATTACTATATGCATTTGCATATTACCCTCTTGAAAAAGGGCAATGTTRTTTCTCATGTAAAAGGTACCGGGCTATCAACAGTTAAAATTCTAGTGATAACTTGGGGCTTGTATTATATTGCCTCTATTACTTCGCCTTGCAAATGCGTACAGAGGAAGAGCCACCTCCAGCAATACACCATGCTGTAATGCCACGGTATTAAGAGCAAATGAAAAGCTTTTCTCGAGAACCACTTTGCACCTTTGCAGGATATCAATTCATGTTTATCAACTGCCAATAAAAGRCCGCTTCCAACACCTACTAGCCTGTCAGGACTGATGTGGAAAGAAGAAAATGTGTTTTCCCGGGTGCCTCTTTGGGGCTGCCGGCGTTTGCCGCTCGCTGGCTGTGGTTGTCGCTCCCAGAGGTGGGTAGGGGAGGCCAGGGCGGCAGGACCCCCTGCCRAGGTGCTGCACAAACAGGAGCTCCCAGGTGGGTGCACAGCACCCACTTGGATTGTGGTCTGCACGGATCTCCAGTGCTTCCCGTCCTCTCCGAGGACGTAGGGCAACTAAAAGAMCAGCCCCAAATCTAGTCAGACCTTTTGTCACTGTTGGCCGTTATGTTTCACCGCTTTCCTTCTGCTCCGTATAGTGTGTCCTTCTGCTCCCTGTTGTGTGCTTGACCAAAGTGGCCCGCTCTGGATCCACTTTTCTCCCAAAGTGGCCCRCTCTGGATCCAAACATGGAAGATCAGAGGATTCCCTACTTGTCAGGCTATTCCAGTGGTTCCTCACTGACAACAGTAAAAAAACATACTTAACACTCCATCTTGAACTTGCCTTACTTCACCTTTCAATCAGGAGTTCTTCTAATGTCCTTTCCTGCTAGGCCAAAACCTCTTTTAGTATTTAACATTCTAATCAAGTCACCACTTAATCTTCTTTTTCATAAACTAAGCAGATAAAGGTCTTGCAAGTTCATCATATGTGGCCTTGTCTCCACTCTTCAAACATGTATTTTTACATTTTTTTCTAGGCCTTGGAAAATATTTCAGTACACATCACATTAGACCTTTTTTTTTTGCCATTGCAAATAGAATTCTTGACTATGCAGAGGAGCGCTGAATAGAGGCAAGGTGATTTTTCCTCTCCATCCTGCCTTGGCAGGAGAGCAAGAATTCTAATTAAAATTCTGGTCTGCAAATGTATATAAAGTAGTGCTTTGTGAAAACTGCAATATGGTGAGGTTCAGCAACCCTCTCCTGATTCAAGAATTCATTTGTTTTCAGTTTAGGATATTCCCACATTTCCTTGCAAGATACATCTACACTTCCAGGCATCATTCTGTTTGTACCTACAGAAAAAGGGTAATGTTTGAAATAATTGTAACACTCAGAGTTTATTCTAATGAGTTTAGAGCCCTGGTTTTTTAGTAATAAGTTAAATGCTTGATTGTTGAGTAGCTAGGATTTAGGAGAGTCTCCTCTCCTCTCCTCTCCTCTCCTCTCCTCTCCTCTCCTCTCCCTGCCTTCCCGATACCCCACTTGACACTCAAGTGATGACAGCAAAGGCTGATGCAGCGAGGATGAAATTAAGAAACTCCTTAGAACCCATTCGGTGATGGTATCGCGGGCTGGTTTAGTCTTATCTGCTTCCATGGAAGCTGCCTAGCCAACTTTAAGAAGTTATTCATGGCATTAAAGTATTCCGTTGACCCTAAGTGCTCTTAATCTGTGCAGGAACTGAATACTGAAAGCTGCTAAGCTGCTGTTCCCATGCCGCTCTACTAACATTTACCAAATATCATCCCTGAGCACAGGGTGGGTTTCTCTCTGTTTTTTTTTCATTATCAAGCAGTTCAAAGCATCTTAGGGGACACAGGACCCATAAATCTGACTGATATCCTGATATCTCGGGGAAAGATTGTGAGTGGCTTACACTGGCCAGGTCTGTACGATGGACACCTTAGTCATTGCCCACAGACATCTTCCAAGCACACAGTCGTTGGGCAAATCCTGAAGATGCTCACCTGGAGCACAGCAGTATATCCAGCATATCCAGTATATTCACACCCCAGCCTCCCAGTTACTGCTTGAGTTTAGCTGGTCCAAGGGCCAGCTAAAAATGTGTCTCTCTAAAGCTAATATTCCTAGCTCAGACGAAATTTAGGACGAGTCATGGAGATGGAACAGGTTCAGTGGCGGAGCCGAACTGATGGCCTCCTCCGAGCGGGTGGGAGCTGTTCTCGTTCTCCAGAGGCAGTCCCTGTTTGGACAGTTGACCTTGGGATCCTCCAGGTTTACCTACACGCATCAAGATCAGTGCAGGTGAAACACTGAGAGGCTCTGGATATGCTTGGAAGGAGGGATCCGCTCCATAGTGATGGGACCTCGTTCCTCCTCCGCTGAACCTTTCACTTACAGCGTCCCCCATTAATCTGGCATCTGATGGTAAACACTGAGGTGGGCGAGTGCAGACCGCAACTCGGGAGCATTTTTGGCTGCATTTTTGACACCTAAGCTTTCACGTAGTGGTCTGTAAGTAATGCTTTTATTTACAATTTTCAGGTGGCTCCCTATCATTTGTATCCCATTCTGGAGTACGATAGCTTGAGTGCGGTTACTCAGACCTTCCCTGCCTCTCAGCCGAAGTGCAGCAGCGCGATGCCCCTGGCAGGACGCCCGCAGCGCTCCACACACTCGGCTAGTACAACGGCTGTGGCACAATGTCACCTCAGCAACAACTGGAGCCCCTGCTCGGGGTGCCGGTAAAGCAGGCTCTGCTCTCTAAGCCCGGCTCAGCTAAAAGGCTGCACTGAAATATGTCACCACTTACTGGTCCTTGGGAAACGGTCCCTTCTTGAGCCGTGATCTCTCTATGATACAGGATTTGGTGCATGCAAAAGAGGAAAGGAATAAAAAAACCCACCTGCTAAACTAGGGCACTCGATTGCATCCCTCTTTTCCTCTGAGGAACTATGAGAGAAAAAAAATAACCTGGCAGATGTTAGTCATTTTGCTTAATGCACTCAGATACCTTGGCAATAGATGTGGTAGGAGAGCTTGTACAGAATAGAATAAATGGCTTCTGCGAGATACTGTCAAAATAATAATAAGAAGATATGTTTCCTATTAAAATAGAAAGGGAGTAAAAGGAACTGTGTTTCTTGAATGAAGGTGGCTGGTATTAGCAGTGCTAAAAATAAGAGAAAGTACAGTACAGTCCCTACTTCACTGCCAAAAATGAAACAGAAAATTTTGCTGTCTCTAAGGTGAAATTACTTCTGGGTTTGGGATTTTTTTTTCTCTCCAAAATTCCGCTTCTCACCAAGACAGGATCAGGAGGAAACTACCGGCTGTTGCCAACRCGAAGCGGAGAAGGGCACCAACGTCCCCCACACCCCAAAACGTTCCTCTTTCCCCTGTGCCTGCAGCTCACAGCTCCCAACCGGCCTTGTCACCTCCTCTCCCRTCAGGGCGTTTGTCCCGGCCCTGGGAATTACCCCACGCAGGAGCAGGGGCTGCTCTGCAGCCCCAAATCCCACAGCGAGCTGGAAAACGCAGCCATGCGGGCAGCCCCCGCATAGGTGAGGGCATCTTCTTTGGAAAAGATCAATTCRTTTTCCTGAAGAATAATGAAAATAGGGTAGTGAAGCTACTGAAGCTCATTTATTAATTTAGCCATTTAACAATCTGAAAATCCAGGCAGCCCAGCAGCAAAGCAGCGGCGGGTACGTAAGCTCAGGAAGCCCTCGTT